AAGACGTTGTACCTCCCCACGCACTTTTTCTTCGTCATCGTTACGGGCAATAAGATTCCATAGGAGAACGAGTGAGCGCTCCAGTACCGCTTCTGAGGTACAGGATGCCACGATACCTACAAGTGGCTGCAGCCCACCCGAGGTAATAAATTCCTTTCGGGCGTCAGGAAACGTCCTCGTCTTCTCAGACGCAGATTCTGCAACATTACATGCGCTATTCGTATTTCCGCAACCACTTATAATAAGAGGTGAAAGACACTCTAATACCTCGCACTTAACGTCATTGTTAACACTGTGAAGTAGGCGCGTGAGAATCGTGACAGCCTGACCCTCGCTTAGCAGAGTATGCAGCATGGAGGTCACCACGGATTCTGGCAGAGACGTTGGTTTCCGCAAAGAGGCAAGCGTTGGGTCTGTGGTACTCTGCGTGAAATATGGGGAACGAAAAAAATGACCAAGAATGTGTAGCTCCGCTAATTGAATGGGAGGACGCGGCAACGGGAGGTGCTTCAACAGACCGAGAAGTACTGGCAGCAACTCCTCCTGTTTTTTGGTGGACCACACGACCGTTTTCCCAAAATGATGCTCATCATAGCTTTCAATCGCGTGCAAAAGCGTCATTTCCTTCACATCTGGCAGACGTAACATTGCAAGGAGTGCACTACCTGTCGGACATGAGCCGCTGCCACCATGCGCACGTGGAATAGTCTTCCCCAGAGTGGAAGTTTGTTGACTTTTCCCACCGTCGACTAAATTATCATAATTCTCACTCTCCTCAATGGATGGCGACTCCTCACGAGCCTCCCCATGCGTGCCGTTTTCATTGGGAAACTGTTGTGGCTGTGATTCAGAGTGCCGTTTCTGCGATGTGTTGTTTCGACGTGGTCGCTTTGGTGACGTGGAGCTCATTGGTGCCACCTCCGGCGCTGCCTCTGTGCACTCCACTGTTGAACCGGCGACATTTCCGTTAGTTGCGTCCGTGTTCTCACGGGGAGCGTCCATACTGCGGTCCGCATCTGGCACGTAAAACTCCGGCACATCTCCTGTTACCAGCAGGTTCATCGCCAGTTTGCAAAACGCCTTCTGTTGCGCCGCCTCCTGCGCTCGTCGCTCCAAGCTCATAAGTTGAGCCTCAACACGTGCCATCTCAGCACGCAGTTTGTCATATGCCACCCGCACCACCTCCTTGTCACGCAAAATCGCCTCCTCCTCTCGAAGCAGTGCCAGCGAACGCTCCGCCAGCACGTCGCTCAAATCAACATACCCACCACCACCTACCGGGGCACCATTTAGCGAGTGGTGGTGGTGCTGCTGCTTCCACGCGGTCTCACGCAGGCTACGTGCAAAGACAGAGAGTGCACAGTGTCCAGCATCCTCGCTCTCTGAGAGAACTGACAGAAGCCCCGCAATCCGGCTTTCAGTTGTGCTCATAAATGATGCCAGGTAGCAAAAGCTCTCTCCCTATAGGTAATAATATTAACAGCAATAATAGACAGTGCTGGTCACAAGTTTATGCTACCGCAAAAAATAAGGGTGCAATGAAGGCTGTCAACAAGAAAGCAAAAGGATTTCAGTAAGCAATTTGCCATTCTTTAAACCAGATCGCACGCACCGTCAGATATAATAATCATAAATAAAAAAAACAAATGGATACAGCAAAGATGTTGGTTCATTGCATCAACAGTAAAAAAAAAAAAAAAGAAAACAGATTCCTACAAGAGAAACCACCGGATGTTATCCCTCTGCAGAGCCCTTTTTTCTTTTTTCTCTGTCTCTGTGTTTATTTGTGTGTTTGGTGCTACGGCGTATTCTTCATATTCTTAATCCTTCTTCGCGCTCTAGAACGCTCAATACGGCCTTCTTGTTCCATGTTTTCCTGAAACGACGAAGGAGCCCCTGACGAGACTGCAGGTACTCGGTATTTTGCTCTTCAGGAACAATTTCATCGTGTGAACCATTCAAATTCTAAGCATCCCAATCCTGCATGATTGCGTGCCCCCCAAGAACGACGGTAAAAGACCTTTTCTACCCCACTCTTTGCGGAGGTGCAAACTGTGGCACGCCACTCTCCGTGAAGTGCCGTTTCGGATCACCGATTAAGCGGTGCGATCTTATTATTCCCCCCGTCATCAGCATCACTTCGTTCCCGTTTGCATGTTGTCGTGTACAATTGGCTTTCTGCGGCTATTTGGGTGGAATGGGCATCTGTTCCATTTTTCCCCACCAAAATTGCGCGGGAGTCCCTCCACAGACGCCAACTCGATGCATTGCAAAAAAGAAAAGAAAAGAAAAAGAAATCAGAATGGAAAAATATCAGACCCTTCACCGCACGCCAAATGAAATGTTTGTGAAAAGAAGAAATAAAACAACAACAACCCCCCTTTACTTCAAACGGAAATTAAAAAATCAAAAAGGCCAGGCTGCAAATAATGCAGGTGATTACGATTACACGTGTCTTAAAACAGCAAGAAGAAATTTTTGAAAAACCCAAAGCAAAAAGAAAAAGAAAACCCAACAACTCTCTCTCTCTCTCTGTATGGCTCCTCCACATTCTCCTCGTTGTTGATTTAGGCTTATTACTGACGATGAGCTTCGACTTTTCCAGAAAGAGACCACCACACATTCACAACCATAAATTCACAGTCGGATAGGGAGAAAGAGAGCCTACACAGCTGCCGTGGATAACACTTTACGCCTCTTGGTTTTTGCTGTCTTCTTTTTACCACGTAGAGTGAGATCAAGTGGCAGCATGGAATGTCCCTGACGTACCTCCAGACGCGGCTGATTGGCTTCCTTAAAGGCAAAAGCGGAGTTCCACTCGGGGCCAAGAGGATGCCGCATGGACCGTGCAAACTCTGTCGGGTTACTGAATGGACGAGGAATCATATGCAGCAACATACGGTCTGGCACCAGTTCCACTCCATCGTGGTTGATAATGACATGATCGAGCTCAGCGTCAGCGCGGCTTTTCATTAGTGTTGTCTTTTCAATTTGTCGCTGCAAATCCATCAATTTTAACTTTTCCTGGTGATGTCTGTTGAGACGTTCGTCTTTGCCGCCCCACTCGCCCCAACCGGGAAGCGTTGCATTTTTGTCAACGGGCTTCATGATCGTTTCAACCTGCGCTGTTTTTTCCGCAAGAAATTCCGCGTCAACTTCATCATCGGCAAAGGCACGAGCAATGAGGTACTCCTGATGTTGTTGTAACGTTGTTTCTTCATCGTTCTCCTCTTCGGATTTTTTCTCTCCAAGCTGCTCCCTTTTTTTCCTTTTCCCTTTGGCCTTCCTAAGCACTCCCTCCTCTTCACCCTTGTTTGTGCCATTGACGTCACGCGGCCGTTTGGCGTCAGCCGGCAGAATCGTGATACGCGTACTGCTTGCTCGTTTCGGCGTCGCAGGAAAGACGGCCTCGCTGCCAACGTTACTAACAGAAGATATATTGGGCTGACGGCTACCAGCAAACCCTTCATTTTTCTCGTCCCTACTTCCAGCAAGGTCTGCTGTGTGAAATGTGGCAGCCTTATCTTTTTCTGTTGCCATCCCATCCGCCACACCATCATTGCTGCCTTCATCTCTAGTGGAACGCCCAGTACCATTCGCATCTTCCTTTGCACTCGTGTTCCTGTGAGTCTCCTCCGCCTCATTACCCCTTTGTGCATCAATACCACGGTGCCGCTTCAGCTGGATACTCTCCACAACTTTTCTGTCCGGTTGTTCCCCATGCCTCTGCAAAAACACCTTTCGTCCCACATTTGTCTCTACATTTTTCAAGGATTTAGCCTTCGATTTCAATCTTTTTGGCTTCTCTTCCTTCTCGCTGGTCTCATCCAAATCAGACGGTTCATCATCACTGCCCACAGCCTGGCCACACATGTCGCGACGAATGTCTTCCTGCAAGGTTTCCAACACCTCTGCGTAACGTTTTTCCTCGCGTTCCTTCGCCTGCTGCATAAAATTCATCTCCCGAAGCTCCATACGAGCCTTTTCGGTGGGCGTCATCTGTGACCCCGTCGTCTGGCCATCGTCCTCCCCCTCCTTCTCAACCTCAGCAATGCTTCGCCACAGTACAGATGTCAGCTTCTGACTGCTCTTTTCCGTCTTATTTCCCCCTTCCTGTTGCTGCTTCGCGGCCACTTCGGCCATAAGGTAGTCCACGACGCGCTCCTCCTCGCTTGATGCTGCCTCACTGTCGGCATGACCATCAACGTGCGCATTCAGGTAAGCGTCTTCGTCTGCGTCCTCTTCCATTTTTTGCATGAGTCGTTGATGCAACAAGTTCTGCTCGTTAATGGCGTCTTTTGTGTTGCCGTCAAAATTAGCAAACCGTTTCGCGTGGCGTACCCATTTACTTGTGTTCTTGTGCTTCTGCGTCACGCGCTCCTCCACTCTTGCCCTCATTAGCTTTTCTGCCAGACGAGCACGCGCCTTTTCGGGATGGAGAATCTCAAACGCCTTTTCCCGACGCTCC